AATTAGGTGGTTGAAGGAAGACAGCAATGGTTTGTGGAGCTACAGAAATGAAAAGAAAAAATTTAAATGGCTGAGTAGGGATATTGAGGTGAAGTACAGCTGGGTGAAGAGAAGTGCTAATTCCATGGCTGATGGGTTAGCCAAGCAAGGGGTGCTTAAGGATTCTTTGTTTTGGGCCACTTTTTAGCTTTCCTTCTTGTTCTCCGTTGTGGGGAGTTAAGATATTTTACCTCCCCTCTCTTGTACTCAAAGTTTCACATTTTTTATAATCTAATAAAACATTCTGTTATTGATAAAAAAAAAATGTTAAGTGAAATTCTTCTTAACATGCCATTCCAATGCACTACTAAAGCATGACATGAAGATTATATTACTGTCGAGTTACAACACAACTTTCCTAGGGCGTAAAGTCAATTTAGCAACTAAAGTTCTTTAAACATCCCACCAATGTAATGTTCCTAATAATTACAAGCAATTGTTTCTAATAGATCAATTGGGCTCCTTTTGGATGCTTAAACAAGTAGCTAAAATAAAATATGATTGATAAAAAGTATATAAAATAAGTTGGTGATATAAAGCCCACAGCCACTCTTTCTTATTCTGGTTACTACAATGAGAATGGTTTAAGAGATACTAGTCCATGACCAGGATGCTGTTGAGGCATTATGGCCTTTGAATTTCAAATGTTGAGATTTGAAACTATTTAGACCCAGAAAAAATAAATGATTCATAATAAGCCATAAAACCATTCCCATTTGATGCAGAAATGGATGTCATTTATGGTGGAACCATTGCCAATTAAAAGACAATGTGATAGGGATCTCTTAAATATTTAAGTGATAATAACTAAATTCAAAGAGTACTCAAGAAAATGAGCAGCAGTTGCACTCCTAAGAAAATGTAGCCTCAGACTTTGTATCAACCATTTCGACTGTCTAAACATGGAATCAAAATTCTTCTCCTTTAATTCTTCTTCCTAGAATGTATAGCTTGAATGGTAATTTTAATTTCAAAATTTTTTTATTATGTATTTGCATTCATAAGGTCTTGCAAATGACTTTATATATGGACACAACCTATGCTATTGACTGTAAAGGCTTCTATTATACACTAGAATGTGGTTATAGAATTACCAAAAAAGAAAAGAAAAGAAATAATAATATCAGCCAAACATGATAACGATATTCTAGATTCCAAAATCAAAACCCAGCTATAGTTATCCAAACAAAATTCTAAATTCTATAATCCAATTTTCAGGATTTGATTCTAAAATTGTTTGAAGAATCTACACTTGTCAAAAAAAATTGTTTGAAGAATCTAGAATCCAGAATGCTATCAAATGGGACCAAGGTGTCAGAAGAACTAACATAGATGGTGAACACAATTGCTACCACCAGAATTGCATATCCTGCATTATATGCTGGAAATTCATGGCGCAGATGCCTTGCAACAAGTGTGCAGAAGATGGTGATAGGAACAACAATAAGCAAAACAGTGACAATAACTGATCTTGCATCTGGTCCAAATATTAGCCTCCCACCAAATAAGAATTTCTGCAGAAAACAGACAAAAAAGGAAATTAGATGCAGGAGAGCATAAAATATACTGCTTAGAAACTTAGCTTCAGTAAAGTGCATAAAAATTGAAGCACAATCAACAAGGAGATTTCTGGAAACATGTAAGAGATCATGGATCATGCATCCAAAATTTTTAGCACGGTACTTCATACAAACTACTGATCCCTTTTCTTTTTTGTCCTGATTAGTAACAAAGAAATTCATGTAGATTAGTTAAAGGTCAGTGTAAACACCACAGCCCAGAAAGCAGATAAAAAAAGGACATCCAATCCCAAAAGAAAGAAATACCCCACCTTGTGCAAGATATACAAAATCTAACTTCTAGCCCAGCAAAAGGACCACAGAAACTTGTTGAATCACCCCGTCTGGATGGCTATTGGTTGCCAAATTAGCAGATCAAGATCCCACAAAATAAGAGGTTCAATCTACACACTAAGACCATGTCTCTCTAATGAAATTTCATAGGCCCCATATGCCAAAAGTGTGATCCCTGATTACACCATAGATTGGATATTATATTCCCTCTACTCTTTGTTTTGGCAGTGAAGATCACAAGTGTGATGCTGAAGAAAGCAATGTTTTAAAATGCGGAGGCGTGATGCAAGGCGTTCCACTACCTAGAAGCGTGAGGCGTAGTTCACAATGCAAGAGGCATAAGCCTCCTTAAGAGGAGGGGGGTTAGGAGGAGGATGAAGAGGAAGGGAGGATCTCATTTTTTCTTTATTTTTAATAAAAATCTTTTATGTTAAGAAGAATAAAGATGCATAACATTAGTTCAAAGGGGGGGTCATGTCGAAGCAGAGGCAAAGCCCCCCAGCCGAAGGGGCAAGGGGCAAACCACTTTCTTTCTCCTTATCTTTTCTTCTCTTCCCTTTCCTTTCCTTTTCTCTTTTTTTTTTCTTCTTTTTCTTTTTCTTTCCCTTCCCTTTCTTTTCCTTTCCTTTCCTTTCCTTTTTTTTTTCTTTTCCCTTTTTTTTTCTGTCTTTTTATATCAGATGTGCATGAGGCGTACGCCTCTAGCACGCCTCATGAAAAAAGTGCAAGAGGTGTACGCCTCTTACACCTGAGGCGTACACCTCTGAGGTGTCAGTGCCTCTGGCATACGCCTCAGGGCGTTTTGGGAGTGCCTCCAGGTGTACGCCTCCCACGCCTTTTAAAACACAGGAAGAAAGGAATTGAGGATCCACCTTGGAAGTTCAGATGTTTGGTTGAGGAGGCTAAAATTTTAGGGAACAGATTGAATTGCTCATTCAAATGAGTTCACAGATTGGCTAATACCATTGTTGACAATTTAGCTAAGGGGCAGCAAGTCAAGGGTATTATTGGGGTGTTCCAGGGCCAGGTTCTGAATTTTCATACACTTTTTTATATTTTTTATTTTTGTCAGCTGGTTAGCTGGCCTTGGTTGTATTTATCCCTCCTTTTCCATTGGACTTTTTTTTTAGAAAATTTAACCAGAATTTATTAAGAAAAAGAGGGGGAACAAGGGGAGATTTACAAAGCAGGGGGGGAATAAAAGAGGGGCATTCCGAGAATCGAACTCGGGACCTCTCGCACCCAAAGCGAGAATCATACCACTAGACCAAATGCCCATCTGGCGCATTGGACATTTTTTTGAAGGTAAAAGAAAATAATTTATTGAAACAAAAAGAAGATACAAGGAAGGTGATAAGCAATCACTCAAAAGAAAGCCCAACCCAAACAGAACCCTGATGAGACAAAAACAAACCCAGATCAACAAAATCCAGAATCAAACTAAAATAAGTCCTGACTAACGAAAGCCCCTTACCCATAGTGTTTTAAAAGGCATGGGAGGCATGCCTCCAGGCGAGGTGCCCCCAAAACGCCCCGAGGCATATGCTAGAGGCATTGACACCTCTGAGGCGTACGCTTCATATGTTCTTTTCATGAGGCGTGCTAGAGGCATACACCTCATGCACACCTCATGTAAAAAGACAGGGAAAAAAAAAAAAAGGAAAGGAAGGGAAAGGAAAGGAAAAGAAAGAGAAGAAAAAAAAAGGAGAAAAAGAAAGAAAAAAAAGGAAAGGGAAGGGAAGATAAGGGAAAAGACCCCCCACAGCCCCCCTTTTCAATGCAGCCCCAATTTGGTTCTTTTGTGCTAGGGGGGTCTTGCTTCACTTTGCTTGCTCGCCTCCGCTTTGACAAGACCCCCCCTTTCAACTAGTGCCATGCATCATCATTTTTCTTAATATAAAAGATTTTTATTAAAAATAAAGAAAAATGAGATTTTTCTTCCTCTTCTTCCTCCTCATCCCCCCCCCCCTCTTAAGCCTCCTTGTGTTCGGGAGGCTTACGCCTCTTACATTCTGAACTACGCCTCACGCCTCTAGGTAGTGGAATGCCTCGCATCATGCCTCCACGTTTTAAATGGCCCATAACAATACAATACAAGACAAAAGGACAAAAGAAACCAGAACATCAAACCAGCCCAATGCCCAACAAATACCCAAACCCAAAATGCAAATTCAAGCATCTTTCTCAGTTTTTTTAGTGCAATTTTGTTGTCATTTTTTTACTATGCCTTTGGGTTTTTTGACGAGCTTGTTAGGTCCCATTCCGAATAGACCACCTTTTAACCTCGTGAAAACCTCAGTGTTTTCTTCTTTTATGATTGAATGAATACATGTGGTTAACTCATTAAAAAAATAAAGGAATTGAGATGGGCTTGATTGGTGGATTGCTCAGCATCCCTAATGGACCATTGATCTCTTTTCTAGAATATGCAGATGACACGTTAAATCTTATAGAAATTCTAAAGAGCTTTAAAGTGTTGTTGGGCTCGAATTAATTTATCAAAAACTGTATGTTGGAAACATGATTTTTTTTTATCAATAACAAAGGATTCATTAATTAATAAAAAAGTGTACAAAGGGAGGAGATAACCTCTCTTATATCCCTGAAGCAAGAAAAAAACAGAAAAAGTTACATGTGAGCCCAAAACAAGTTCTCCCTATTCACCCCTTGCTTTGCAAGCCCATCGAATCATTAGCCAAAAAAATCAAATGATTCCGTTGATACATTCGAGTAATGACCCGTTTCACAATTAGTGAACTGGATTTATTGTCATAACCTAAATTTTCCGCGGGTTCATAAAAAACTGATCTATTTAAACTATGATCGTGAGCAAATACATAAATATACTCHTGAAAGAGAAGTGGATATAGAAAGTCTTGTTGCCGAGATCTATCTATTTCTAAATATCTTTGTAATTCCTCCATTCATTGGAAACATGATTTTTTTTTATCAATAACAAAGGATTCATTAATTAATAAAAAAGTGTACAAAGGGAGGAGATAACCTCTCTTATATCCCTGAAGCAAGAAAAAAACAGAAAAAGTTACATGTGAGCCCAAAACAAGTTCTCCCTATTCACCCCTTGCTTTGCAAGCCCATCTGCAAGGAAGTTAGCACATCTCTTAACCCAAACTACTTTAACTTCCATGTCTTTTGTCAGCCATTGGAATTTCTTCTTCTCATTGCTGTACAGCCACAAACCATTTTTATCTCCTTTCAGCCATTCTACCACCAACTTGGAGTCTCCTTCGATGATCAACTTCCTCAACTTTAAGTCCTTGGCTCTCTGATCTGAACACCTTCTAGAGCCACCAAAATCTCAGCTCTAGGAGAGTTACCCTCTTCAATTGGGCCTGAGAACAAGGCAATTATAATCCCATTCTCATCCCTTAAAACACCCCCAACACCTTCTTCAATTGGAAACATGATTTCCTTGTGCTCATTTAAAGCTAGATTATCATTGTACTTGTTTTTCATTCAATAAAAATAGACTTTGATATCTGAAGCCTTTATATGAAGTAATGCTTACGTGTGACTGGAAAGTTAAGTCATTGGGTGGTAAATGGAACTTCTGAATGACCCAATTCCTCATAGACTTGTTATTGATTAAAAAAAAAAATCCTCATAGACCTAAAGCATCCCAACTAAGATGAGCCTAGTCTATGGTCAGAACATGAACGGTTACCATAAGATGGTGTAGTGATATCTTGACCACTGGGGTGAGAGTCCATATTATCATGTGGCATGTGGATTTCTTTAATTGTTGGTAGCATGAATCACTCAAGTGCAGAGACTTTTTCGTCCTTAGACCTGGGGATTTTTCAGGGTTATAGAGTCATGACCAGTTACTTTGGTATGTCATGGGTGGGGCTACTAAAGTCACTAACATATTTCACATGTTGGGTAGCTGGAAGTGACCTTAGAACTTTGGGAATGTCCAATAAGAAAGCTACACCCTCAAGAAGAGAGTGTTACTGCCAAGACTTTTAAAGACTACAAGAGGTAAGGGTTAAGGTGAGTGAGACTTGTCTTGTAACAGAAATAATCAGAAATTAATCTAAGAATTAATGAATTAAAGAGAAAAAAAGTGGTAAGAATAGATAGAAGAAAAACACAAAGGAAGAATGAAAGAAGTACTCAATCCTATGTTAGCAAGTCAAAAAGTTATGTTAATAGGTCAGAGTCATAGTCCTATGTCTACATAGGATTTCTCATAGTCTTAATCCTATGTCAATTAGGAATTTTGTTTGAGTCCTAAATCAAAGTCTCAGTCCTAAAGCTAACTGTCAATTTTAAATGGGTGAGGAGAACTGCTAATGGGATGGTGGATACTCTAGCTAAATAAGGGGCTTTTAGGCATCAATTGTTTTGGGCAAAATTGTAATTTTTGTTTGCTCAGGGTGGAGTTTTTCCACCTTGATGTATCCTTATAATCTCCTTAATAAAATCTCCTTTTGCTGATCCAAAAAAACAGGTCTCAGTTCTAAAACCTAGGATTTCTCCTATTCCTACTTCCTAGTTAGAGTTTTAGTAGTATTCCTTAGTTGGTTCTAGAGTAGGAAAACAAGGGAAAGGGTTCACTGACACCAACATCTGGCTTTTTCTTACCCCAGAGATTTCAAGCCTGTTAGTTTGCTGGTTGACTATAAATGATCATTGCT